GCCAAACCAAGCATTGGACTTCCTTGCCTTTTCTCTGGGATCTCTCACCTCTCTCCCAGCTTCCTTATCTAGTTTGCACTGTGGCTGAAACTGCTTGTTCTGGCTGGTCATCATAAGCACTTTCCAAACTAGAATAAATTGTATGCTTTGTTATTTGCCCCCACTCCCATAAAAAATGACCAGAAAGCACAGGCTGATGGTAATTATAAGGTAAAAGGGAGAGGTGGTTTCCCAAAATACAGTGATTAATATGTGATAATGTTATCTAGCCAAAACAGGACTCCTGAAATGGTTATAAACTAGTTGGGAAGAAAAGATACATACCCTGATAAAGTAAGTAATAATAAGTGTTTTATAGTCACTGACAAAAATAGAAGAGAGTATTTCACAAGATAGAACATGTCGAATTTTCAATGGAAGATTATTATAAAGGTTAAACAGTAGTAAAAATAGCAAAAAGATTTTGTAGTAATGGATAAGCCACATCTTGTTGGTTCATGCAGCAGTCAGTGGGCTTTGGGGTTGTTTCCACTTCGGGCCTATTCAGCAATTGCTGATGGACATTTGTGTACGAGTTTGGGGTGGGCATAGGTTTTTATTTCTCCTCGGTATATACTCAGGAGTGAAGTTGTTAGATCGTATGGTAAGTTTATATTTAATATTTTAAGAAACTGCCAAACTGCCTTCCAAAGTGGTGGTTCCATTTTACAGTCTGTCAGCAGTGTACAACGGTTCTCGTTTCCTCACAGCCTAGTCAGTCGCTTTGATTGTAGCTACTCTAGTGGGTAAGTGGTATCTTTCGTGATTTCAATTTTCATTTCCCTAGTGGGTACCCATGTTGAGCATTTTTCATGTGATTTTCAGACCATTTGTACATATTATTTCATTAAATGTCTATTCAAGTCTTTGCCTGTCTTGTAATTGGGTTGTCTTGCCTTCTTATTCAGTTATAAGAGTCTTTATATGTTCTGGACACAAGTTTTTTTTTTTATAGTTTATTCTGTTTTTATTTCAGCTTTATTGAAGTATAATTGCTATATAAAATTGGAAGATATTTAAAGTACACATTGTAGTGACTTAATACACATGTACATGGTGAAAGGGTTTCCCCATCTAGTTAATTAACACATCCATTACCTCACATATTTATCTTTTTATGTGTGTGTGAGAACATTTAAGTTGTTCTCTCTCAGCAAATTTCAGCTATACAATAGTGTGTCACCAACTATAGTCCATGTTACATTAGCTCCTCAGACCTCATAGCTGAAAGTTTACACACTTTTACCAACCTCTCTCTACTTCCCCCACCCTTCAGCCCCTGACAACCACTCCACTCTTGGTTTCTGGGTTTGACTTTTTTTTTAGATTTCACATACAGATACCATGCAGTATTTGTCTTTCTCTGTCTGGTTTACTTCACATAGCATAAATAAAACAGCAGGATTTCCTTCTTTTTCGTGGCTGAATAATATTCCATTGTACACATATGCCACATCTTCTTTATCCAGTCATCTGTTGATGGACACTTAGGTTGTTTCCACGTCTGAGCTATTGTGAATAATGCTGCAGTACACAAGTAAACATAGGGGTACAGCTATCTCTTTAAGATCTTGTTTTCATCATTGGATATATACCCAGAAGTGGGGTTGCTGGATCATATAGTAGTTCTATTTTTCATTTTTTGAGAAACCTCCGTACTGTTTTTGCCTAGTGGCTGCACCCGTTTACATTCTCACCAATACTGCACAAGTATTCACTTTTCTCCACATCTTTGCCAACACTTATCTCTTCTTGATAATAACCATCCTAATAGATATGAGGTGATATCTCATGGTGATTTTGATTTGCATTTCCCTGATGATTGGTGATGTTGAGTACCTTTTCTTGTATGCTTGTTGGCCATTTTATGTCTTCTTTGGGAAAATGTCTGTTCAGTTCGTCTGCCCATTTTTTAATCAGATTGTTTGCTTTTTCGCTATTGAGTTGCATGAGTTCTTCATATATTTTAGATATTAACTCCTTATCACACATATGACTTACACATATTTTCTTCCATTCAGTAGATTGCCTTTTCATTTTGTTGATGGTTTCTTTGCTTTACAGAAGCTTTTTAGTTTAATGTAGCTCTGCTTGTTATTTTGCCTTTCTTGGCTTTGTTTTTGGTGTCAAATCCAAAAAATCATGAAGATCCACAATTTCTTCATTAGAAACAACTTTCAATTATTTTTTCCAGCCTATGGCTTATCTTTTTATTTTTCTTTGTGGCATTTTTTTAAATAATAGTTTTTTTAAGATATAAGTCATCTACCACACAATTCACCCTTTTAAAGTGTACAATTCACTAGTTTTTAATATCATCACAGAGTTGTGCAAGCATCAGCATGATCAATTTTAGAACATTTAATCACCCCCAAAATGACTTCATACCTGTTAGCACTCACTTCTCATTCCTCCCTAGCCTCCAAGCCCCAGACAACCACTAATTTACTTTCTGTCTCTGTGGATTTGCTTATTCTGGACATTTCATATAAATGGAATCAAACATGTAGTCTTTTGTAACTGGCTTCTTTTACTTGGCATAATATTGTCAAGGTTCATCTGTGTTGTAGCGTGTGTCAGTACTTCATTCCTTGTTATTACCTAATCGTATTCCATTGTAAGAATGTACCACATTGTATTGAAATCATTCAACAGTCAATGGACATTTGAATTTGTTTTCCCTTTTGGCCATTATGTATAATGCTGCTGTGAACATTTGCGTACAATTTCTTATGTATACGTATGTTTTCATTTCTCTCCGGTCTATACATGTAGGAGGGGAATGGCTGGGTCATATGGTATTCAATGTTTAACCTTTTGAGGAACTGCCAGACTGTTTTCTAAAGCAGCTGCACCATTTTACATTCCTTCCAGCAGTTTATGAGGGTCTCAGTTTCTCTACATCCTTGTCAACGTGTGTTATTACCTGTCTTTTTTTTTTTTTTGTAGCCATCTTAGTGGATGTCAAGTTGGATCTCATAGTGGTTTTAATTTGCATTTCCCTAATGGCTAATAATATTGAGCATTTTTTCATGTGTTTATTGGACATTTGTATATCTTCTTTGAATGTCTATTCAGATCCTTTGCCCATTTTAAAATTAGGTTATCTGTCCTTTAATTGTTCAGTGTCACAGTTCTTTATATATTCTAGATATAAGTCCCCTATCAGATATATGATTTGCAAAAATTTTTCCCATTCTGTGAGTTCTTTTTTCACTTTCTTAAAGGTGTCCTTTGAAAAAGGTTTTTAATTATAAGTCCCTCGTATCTGTTTTTCTTTTCTAGTGTTTGCTTTTTGTGTCATTGCTAAAAAGTCATTGTCTAATCATTCCTTCTAAGAGTTTCATAGTTTTAGTTCTTACATTTGGCATGATCCATTTTGAGCTAGTTTTTGTATATGTTAGGTAAGGTCTAAGTTCATATTTATTTGTATCATGGGAAGATCTCAAAACGTATGCTAGGCGATAAAAGCAAATTGGAAAATGTTACGTACAGTATGATACCCATTCGTGCAAAACTTAAAAGCATGAAATGTCATCTATTATTCATAATTACATATGTACACATAGGTAAGAAGTTTCACACCAGAATCTTTGACAATGGTTGCCTCTGAAAGGAAGAGAGGAGGGGATTCAAAGAATTGGTAGACAAAGGGGTCTTCAGATTTATCTGCTGTGTTTTTAGGTTGAAATAAATTTGACACAATATTAACAATTATCAATTTGGGTGGTCTGTAATGTTCTACTTCTAAGCTTTTCATATTTTTTGAATTTCTCAAATTAAAAATGCACACACGAATCAAAGTGAACGATGGACAACAGACCATTTCCATGTAGCCCAGCGCTCACACTGGTTGAAGCACTGAGGTGATGCTTTGCGCACAGCCTGTCAGCCTGTTTGGGGCAGATGCTGTTTGTATGTGGGGTTTCTGAGCTAGATCCCAAAAGAGACTGATCTTCCTTTGAACTCATTTGCACACTTTGGTTTATATTTTCCCCGTTTTGCTTCCACAGAAAAGCCCAGCCTACGTGCCACACTCAGTTGCCCTTCCTCTGAAGAGCAGCAGAGCCCAGATCTCAGCGAGCTCCCTTTAACAGAAGTTTCAAAATTTTATCCCATTGCTCCAAGCTTTCTCCAAAACTATACCAGAGCCTTCACAAGGAAAGTTTGGTTCCCACTAAACATGTGTTCATCCTCACCCAGTCCCCACTGGATGGCCTGCGAAAGACCTCACTGTGTGCGTGGCGAGTGCAGTGTGACAGCTGGATGAGCCGGCTCCAGGGAACAGCCTGCAGCTGGGCTCCCGACACGCAGACGCGGGTGTGGGTGGCGTGTGTCCCTGTGGCCTGGCAGCTGCAGAGGTGCTGGGCCGCTGTCATTGCCCTCGGAGTGGAACGGCTCGTTCCACTCCCTCCCACTGCCGGGCTGCGCGGCCTGACACAGAGCTCTTACTCTCTTCATCCTGGGTTTTCTCCAATAAAATGGATACAAAAATGTATGTCCTTTCTACTCACAAGTTGTTGTGAGGATCAAATGAGATAGTGCCCATGAATGTGTTTGCAAACAAAAATGAAAGCTGTTGGTGTACTATTTCCAGCTGTGTGACCCCCAACCCCTGATCCTCTGCCCAGCCACTCTGCTCAGTCTGGCCACCTGCAGGGCCTCCGCCTCCCTCTGCAGTGCTTTCCCTCCCTCTTTCTGTCCATTCTTGCAGTGTTCTCGCGCTCTCTTTTCTCTCCTCCCCTTTTGTTCTCTCCTCATCTCCCCTTTTTTTTTCTTTTCTTCCTCTCTCCAGCCCTGGAGGCAGCCTGACTCCTTCCTTTCACATGGGAGTGCAGTGAGTGCATGGCACCACTGAACTGAAGCCCTGGGCTGGCTCAGACTGAGAAAAAAGACTTTTCCCCCTCCTCAAAGAGGTAAGACATCTGAGATAATATCCTTTATCTCTTTGATTCTCCCAGGCTCAGGCCACAGGATCGCCACATACATCGCCCACTCATGGAGGTGGCCGCCCAATGCCCATGCCCGTGCGCTCCACGTCGGCCGGCTCCACCCCCACCCACTGCCCGCAGGACCCGCTGGGCAGCGGGGACATGCAGGAGGCCTTCGCCCAAGGTGAGTGTGAGAGCAGAGATAATGGAGAGCAGAAAGGGATTGGAAGCACAAGCAAGATTCCTACTGAGACTTTTCCAGTTTCTTTGTGCGCTTAGCTTTAAATGATCCAATTTTCATATACAGTAAAAGTAAGTCAAATGCTGACCCCTTCTCATTAGATGGGCTGGTGTCCAGTGGAGGTCTGCAGGCTTTGTATGTGTGCTGAGTACAAACCTCCTGGGCTTCTGTGCTCTTTTTCCCCGGGTTGTGGGAAGTGCCTTGTCCTTTGGGCTTTGCTTCCTCTGGAGGAATTTGATGGATTCATTCCGAAGTCATGTGTCGGCCTGCAAAATCTTTAGAGCAAGCAAGAGAAGGAAGAGTGGAACTCTAAGTAAGACTTTGCCGAAGGCTCCTTGTCCGCGGAGCTGACAGCCAGCAGTGTTACGTGGTTGGGGGAAGACGAGGAAGGCTCCGATGGAGACTTCACTCCACAGGGAGGCGGAGGTGGAGCTGGAGAGTAAGACCTGCCTTAGGCTAGGAGCACCTGGGAGCAACCCAACTCTTGATTGTGGCTGAGAAGCATGGAGTTGACAGGGCCCTGCTCTGCAGGTGTAGAAGAGGGAGGACCATGGACTTGGGTACCCGATGCTCCTGATGTGCCTGGGAGCGGGCGGAGCTGCGTGGCCCCTCTCCCCTTAGTGCGCACCATGTCCACCCGAGGGCCCGACCCACCGAGGCATTTGCTCAGCCCTCTCTTCCCCACCCACCCACCTGGCATCGCCATCTGCTCTGACTCCCCTCAGGTACGAGGAGGAACCTCCACAATGACCTGCTGGTGGCTGCCGACTCTATCACCAACACCATGTCGTCCCTGGTGAAGGAGCTCCACTCAGGTGACGCCCAGAGCTCCCGCCCAGCCTCGCGTCTCCCCCTCTGCACCCAGGCCCTCCTCACCGCCTGGCCACGTGGTAAAACGTCGCCCCGGAGCGCAGGCCGCCGCCCGTCACCCTGCGGTCTTTTTGCCTTCTAGGACACGCTGGCTCCCCACCCAGAGCTGCTCCCACGCGGGACCACGTAGCGGCAGTCCTGCGTTTAGGCTTCTCTTAAGAACACGCCTGGTGCAGCACAGTGCAGACTTGAGAGAAATTCCCACCTCTCGGTGCAGTCAGGCCCCTTCCTCACCTAATTTGTCTTCCATCTGTGCTTCGTCCGCAGCTGCTCTCTCCTCAGGCCTGCTCGGCTGTCTCATTCCGGAGCTTTCCTGGATGACTGGAACCGAATCAGCCACAAAAGCTTCTGGACTTTCTCTCACTGCCTCTCTGCTCTCTCCTATTTGACTTGGTTTTGAAACCCTATTCTCTCCTTTTGTCCACGAAGAGGCTCTGATTTCACTGGAAGTTCATGACCCGCATCTGTTGCTTCCTTCACTCCTCATGTTCAGTCTTATCTGTGACTCCCTTCTGTCTGTCACCTGGCTATTTCAGTGATTTTCCAGAGACCCTTACCTCATGGAATATTTGCCCTTACATAAATCCAAGGAAGGAGAGAAAAAATAGAAGGCTGTTCCCATACCATCATATCTTAAGAATCCCCATGATTCCATCAGTTTTGTAGCTGCCAGATATTTTACTATTTTTTGTTACAGTGGTCATATTCCCATGTTATATATTAAACAAACAGACTCCTTTCCTAAGTGCTGTAGGTCACTCGTACAGATGGCCCTCTTCTGTTTCTTTTCACCTAATGTAGTGCTTTTAAATACCTTGAGCTAGCTTAACAAGATTATTAAATAAAAATACAAAGCAGTTTTTCTGTGGGCTGTTCAGACACAAATACTTATTCGAACACATACACTGAAATCATCAGTCCATGCTCTTAGGGAAGGCAAGCCTTGGGTGTTTCTTCAGACCTTCATAGGAGAACGCACACACCTGTGGTGTTACTGCTCTCAAATCTGCTGTTTCTGTTTAGAAGAGAATAAGTGTGTGGCCTGGGTTGGTTTTTCCAGTGCAGTTAAGACAGGTTGCCAGTTCTCCTGTGCTGGGAGTTATGGTGACGCTGTCTCCAGTCTGGTACCGTTTCTCAGCCCCCGTTAGAAGCACTGCCCCCTCCACACACACAAACCGAAGAGCTGACGTCATGGGTGATTAGAAAGTCCCTTCCCTAATATAGCTCCCCACAGATGCCAGAAATCCCACTCTTGGAGGGAATTTCCTAGGGGATTTCAGGCCATGGAAATTAACCACACTTGTGCCTTGTGGCCACTTCTTGGGGTTTGTGCAAAATAAGTGGTTCGTGAGCTCATCACACTGATTTGAGAGGTAACTGGGTATCATTAAACACAAAGCCCATAGAGACAAAAAAGCTTCCTAAAAAAGTAAGTTTATGGGGACACCCAGCAATCTCTCATAGGAGGAAAGGATGGTTTTTAACAAAACTATGCAGTGTGTTTAGAAGGTACCTTAGAGATTACACTGTCTACTCCTCTTACTTTAGAAATGCAGCGAGTGGTGATCAGAAAAGTGATTTGCCTGAAATTGTGCAGCTTGAAGGGGCAAAGCTGGTCTTAGAGCTTATGTCTGAACATTAAGCTGATGCTGTTACCACCACACTGCCTTTATCCCCACGCAGGACAAGGTGTCAAATCTCCAGTCCCACGAGGGCCCCTTTCACTGATGCTCCATTCTCCCAAGCCCTGAAGTCCACAGGGAGACGTGGACTAGGCCCACACGTGGCACAGTGTCTCTATAAAACACAGAAGTAAACGCCCTTTACGTGCAAGGCTGCAGTCTCTCGATGAGTGGAAGAGCCTTGCCCGACACCAGCACCATTTTACCATCACTGTCAAGGTCTCTGTGAGGATGAGATTAGATGTTCACATTGTGTTTACATGTATTCTGCACAGCACGGACGTACTGTGTGGACCATAGCTTGCCCACCTCGTCTTTTTTGAAATGCTTTCAAAAATAACGGACTCTTAGAGTTGGAGAGGATCTTAGAAGTCATTTAATCCAACTTGCTGCTCAGTGTAAGTCCTCTGTTTGAATATTTCCAGTGAGCTCATTCATGACCAGTTCTCCCCACTGGGAAGTTCTTCCTTATCAGGGAGCCAAAACCTGCCTGTCTGTAATGCCTGCATTCTCGTTCCACTCTCTGAAGTGACCCAGACTGAGCTCAGTCCCTCCTCTTCACGTCAGCCTTTCAAGTATTTGATGGCAGATGGCAGGGTTCTCCCTCCGCCTTCCCCACTTTGGGCAACTGGTCACCGTTCCTTCAGCTGTAACTCATGTGGGTTTCACTGGACCATCTTGCCTGCCCACACCAGGATGTGGCCAAGTGTTTCAAGGCCCTAGTTCAGAGCCAGTTCCCAGGGCCGACACCCTTCTGCACGTCGCAGGGGTCTTCCCCCTGCAGAGCACAGCCAGCTGCCACCTCCCTGGGTGAGCCCCCCAGGAAAGCAGTCTTAGACAGCACTCCCCTTCCCCGCATAGCCACTTTACACTGTTCAGGCATTTTAAGTTTGTTGTCAGCTAAAATCTCTAGATTTGTTTTTTTAACAGAAGCCAGTGTTCATCTAGGTGTTCCCTGCCAGGCACGTTTACAGTTATTTTCTTGAACCTGAAGGCAAGGTATTGGCTGTATCCCTGGTGGATGTCATCACCTCAGGGAAGCCAGCAACAGAGCCAGCAGCCACGTGGGTGACATCAGACTGCACGTTTCTCTGGGCTTAGGGCTTATGGGGACACAATACTGGGGTGTGGGTGCTATAGGCTAGGTGATTTAAGCACCCTTGGAGGCCTGCAGCCGTGAGCCTTTAGCTAGGGTTTCATCCCACGCCTCCCAAGTTACTCCCTTCTCCCTCCTGCCATGCTTATACCGTGCTGAAGGGTCACTGGCCTCCTTGGACTTGTTTTCACAGCAGAGGAAGGTGCAGAGGAAGAAGAAGAGAAGATGCAGAATGGGAAGGACAGAGGTAAAGGCAGCTCCACAGGACCCCCTAGTCTGAACGGAAGCCAGAGCTCCAGTCCCTGAACGAAACCCACCTTGCCCTTTTGTTTCTGCCTTTCCTCCGGCTGCCACCTTTCCCCAAAGCTTTCAGACCCCTACCGTTCTTTCTCCCTGCTGTTCCCAGCTGACCGTCAAGTTTTTCTCTAGAGATGGTCATGTCAGTGGATCAACAAAAGCTTCCTGATTTCCTGACGCTCTGAGAGATGGGTGGCGGGGATACAGGAGGTGGATCCAAGTCAAAACCAAATATAACCTCTTGCCTCCGGGAGTTTATAGGAAAGCAAAATTAAAATATGGAAAATAAATAAGAGATAAAATGAAGTGGCAGGAAAAGTTAGTCGTCAGACGTTGAGTGTAGGATTATAAATGCAAGAAGTGTTTGTGAAAAGGAAGTGATTGCTGTGGACAGAACAGCCAAATGGTTTTGTGGCTTCTCAGAGGAATTAAAAGCAATAGAGAAAGGTATCAGCAAAGGACAGTAATGCCTTCCTCATTTTATTGTCTCCAAAACCTCCTTAATAACTTGTTATGTTCAAAGAGCTGTGCTAAATGGTTTCCATGTTTAATCTTACTCAGTCCTCAACAACCCAGTGAGGTGTGTAATATAATAATATCTCCATTTTACCGATGAGGAAATAGGCTCAGAGAAATTGAGATCGTGTAGCTATTAAGTGGTAAAGATTGGATCTGAACTGGGTCTTTCTGACTCCAGACTTCATGCTCTTAATCTTCATGTTTCTACGTTACCTTGAACAGATAACAATGCTCTTTGGACATTTGAGAGTTAGCTCTTATTTCTGTGACATATTAATACATCTGTTACTGGATTCCTTCAAAATGTAAGCTCCACAAGGCAGAGATTTTGGTCTGTTTTGTTCAGGTTGTATCCCCAGTGCCTAGAACAGTGCCTAGCACGTAGTGGGATGTAAGTAAATCCACAAATCTAAGGAATTAAACAGGGTGGTGTGCTGGAGAGCCGGTTGTCAGGGAGAGAGGTGGGTGGCCGCCCTGGGGAGGCTGAGGGGTGGAGCTTGAGAAGGAGCCAGCCCAGCTCGCCCAGGTCCCTGCTGGATGCTCTGCACGTAACACACCCTTCCTGTTTGATTCTTTAGCCCCTGGAGGAAAGGATTCCAGACAGGGCTCAGGGCGGTTAAACAACTTGCCCAAGTAGTGAGTGACAGAGCCTGGACTCAGCCCAGGTACCTCTAACGCCAGCGCCCAGGCTTTAGTCTGAGCAGACTGGGAGACCGAGGGAAGTGAAAGAAGTCTTAAGGAAGGTAGGAAGCCGTGGATGCAGGAAGGGAGACTGTGATGGGGAGGGGGGCACACCTTGAGGGGCGGGGTCTGGAGTGTTTGCCCGTAGGGTCTGGTGCGGACAAGAGAGGGTGGGTTTGGAGTTTGTCAGCAAGGACACTGGAATTGCCAAGGAAGAAATGGGGAGAAAAAGAAAAACATACTCCAGGTGCTGAAATCATCGAGTGAGTCAGAGCGAGGCCTGGGAGAAAGTGGACAATAGTATGATGAATTGATGAGAATGACGTATTTGGCATGGCCGTCCAAAGGTCAGAAGGAGAGGGCAGCAGTATTTGAAACATCTAGAAATGCTGCAAAGAAATGGAGAGAAGACTGACTTCTCTGGGCCGACAGGGCACTAGGAGAAGGCAGAAGGGTTGTGATGCAGGAGGTGACGAGAAGAGGAGACACAGAGATAGATTGACACTTCTGTAAACACAAGCTGCAAACAAACGCATGCACACACACACCATCCAGCCAGACCCCGGCATTCGTGTGGAATGTTCTTGGCTGAAGACATAACAGCTGCTGTTCTGGCCTCTCTTCCCTTATACCCTCCCTTCCCCCATAGCTGTTCCCATGGCCTCTCTTCAGTCTCCCCCACTCCCCCGAAGCACACAGAGGACTCTGCCCCGACCGCTTGGGCCTTGCCCTGACCATAGACTCCAGCCCGCAGTCCTGAGTCTGGAAGTAGGCTGTGTCTCACGTAGGGACTGGGTACGGTTTCCCTTGTCTGGTACCTGCTGGCCCCAGGGGCCCTCTGTCTTTGCTCCTGTGTTGCCCTGTCAACATCTCTTTCTGTCCCTCCTGCTTTGTATGTCTATGGGAAGCCTTTCTGTAAGGATGCCTGAATTTTCATTTCTGTGGCTTTTAGGTATCGCCCCCAAGGGGAAGAGTGTTATGAGTTGGGATGAGAGATGGGTAGGGTTTAAAAACAAAGCTTGACTCTCAACATTGTATAGGTCCTCAGATATGCCCCTGTAGCTAACTTGTAGCTGTTACGTGGGTATAATTGTAAAACCAAGTGTTTTTATGATGGACCTTCTGATTCTCCACTGTAAACTTGGCGTGAGATTTTACCGTAGACTGAGGTAGCAGTAACTACTGTCACCTAGGCATTCGAGAGCAACGTAACTGCCAACCACAAAGAGACAAAAAGATTTGCTTCTTTGGGGGTTGAATCATGCTGACATAACATGAAAACAACTTGGTCGGCACCCTGTCATATGCAGTCTGCTCAGTGCAGAAACTGTGAGAGCCAAATGGACATTTCTGAGGACTTGATGACCAAGCCAGGCTTCCCAGCCACATTCACCCCTGCCCCGGGCCTCGCCCTGCCCCACCCCGGCGCTCGGTCTTGCTGCATCCTGGGGAATGCTTCTGCTCCAGCCGGGGTACCTTCCTGCTTGCAGCCCCTCACCTTGAGTGGTACTTATCACCAGGGCTACATAGATGAAGCACAGGTGAACATAACTTCCCCCATATGACATCAGAGCCCTAAATTCATCTCAGCTCCTCCCAGGCCACATGTTACGCTCCTGTGTCCTTCAGAATCACCTCTCCCAGAACCTGCCACCACGGTGTTGGGAGCTGTAAATCCAGGTTGCACACTTAAGGCTGGTGCACGTCTGGCAGACTGCGAGCAGCGGTCCTTGGTGAGAACAGGTACAGGCTTTTGAGGTTCCAGGCGGTGGTTCAAGATTCCAGGGTGAGCAAGAGTATGACTGAGAATTCCCAAGCAGATACGTCTGCAGGAAGGAAATACGGTTCTTATCAAAGTTTGAACATTTTCACCTTGTTCACTTTCAGAAGCAGGTGGGCTGTACCCACTAATGTAGCGGCTCCCTAGATTTCGGGTGCATTCGTTTCCATTTTAGTGTTACCATTTTCTTCCTCCTGCGAGGCTCTTGTCTCCAAGGCTGTTTTATGTCAGTTGCAGTTGCTGGTTATAGGTAGTGTGACCCCCCGTTTTCATACCTGGTCGGGGAAAGTCAACCTACAAGGAGCAAAGGGGAGAGGCGAGCCCGGGAGCCCATGGGCACGTGGGTCAGGGAGGCCCGGAGGAGACCCCAGGTGTGACCGTGGTCTGTTGTTTGTGTCCCCGCTGCACAGGTTAGCAGAGGAGCCAGGACAGAGAGGAAGCGCGGGTGAGTACGGGTTTCTCCGCCTTCCCCCACCGCCCCTTTCCGTCCTCCCTTTCCTCAGTCACACGTCCCAAGCCAGAGCCACCCACCACGTGAGAGCCAAGTTAGGGTTTCCCTTCTGTGCTCAGCTGCACGTGTTCTCTGTGTGTAGCCCGCCGGCATACCTGCTTGGCCCCATTTCCATGCCCGGACCCAGGACGTCTTGCACTGCCCCAGGCCTGGGCCTCAGGCAGGCCTTGGTGTCACCTGTGTCGGGAAGCAGGGGGCAGAGCAGACACTGCTGGCTGAAACAGGCTCTGGGGGCAGGGGTCAGAGGTCACTTCCCAGGGTTGCCTATGCCTCCTTGTTCCTGATTTCCCACAGCTACTGTCATTTCTCTCTAGGGGTCCAAACCACAGTCCGTGCATCCCTGGGGTTCTGTCACCCAGAGCTGTAACCTGCCACATGTTTCTGTCGTGTAAGACCAACGGACCCCAGAAAGCCGACCAAACCGTTTCCCACAGTGCCTGGCCAAGCTGTACCTTCTCACTTCCTTAAAGTATTCATAAAAAGTACAGACTTCCCCACAAGCAAATGGCCATCACTTTAGGAGTTACTCTTTCACATTTTTCCATCTCAGGACCTTAACTCTTATCTAGTCCCAGTTTCAAGGCAGTGCAGCTTCTGGGCATGCATGCTGAAAGCAGGGATGAAAATAATTGGACAGCCAGTCTGTTCAGAGAGTTCTTCCAAGGATAGATGCCTTTGGTGCAGCCGTGAGTTTTCTCTTTATTTTTCAGTCTTTTCTTCCGTCCCCTCCCCCACCTCTTGTGTTTAAAAGTTAGGCCATCTTCCTCAGTTGCAGATCTTCCAAGCAGAAAAACCAGGGCTGCAGCTCATAATCCAGAAAAGGAACTTTCCCAGGCCCTTCTGAGTAGTCTCGTTCTGGAGCAGCCTCCGGGCCTTTTCCTGACACCCCGCCTTCCCCCATCTGCACCAGGCCCTTGGTTCTGTCCTTGCACCCCGGGACCACCTGTCTCTGAGCCTCCACTGACTCAGGGATCCTGCAGGCTGAAGACGGGCGGCACTCGAGCTGCAGACATTCTCTCGCTGCTCTGGAAATCACAGAGCCGCCCATGCCGGGGCAGGCTTTTCCCTGCGCTCACTGCACACGCAGGCTAGGCCCTTCCTGACAGCAGGCCTTGGCTGCCGCTGCCATGGAGGAAGTCAGGAGCTGACTTGCCCTTGGGGAGCCTGCCAGAGCCCCTCTCTCCGGGGTGCAGAGGAACTGGGGGACAAGGAAAGCGTGGCAGCCATCTGGCCCACTCCCTTTCCGTGCACACGAGGAAACTAAGGCCCACTGCCCAGGAGCTTGGTGCCGGACCTGGAATCAGAGCTGGGTCTTCTGCTGCTAATGCTGTCCTCTGACCCATCAGGAGTTAGGAGAAACTTGCCAGTAGTGGACAAGCAAAAGTATAAAAACTCAGGTGGCTCAGTTTCATGAACCCTTACATTGTGCTGTCCTCGGGCATGAAGCTAAGGCTTCCTCCCCTTCTACTCAGTGTTTCACGGCACATCTCCGACCTCTTTGCCATTCTCCTCAGTCACAATTCTCTTTCCCATAAAACCACCACATTCCAAACCTTGCACTGCAAACACAGTTCTTTCCTTCCTGGAAACATTTCCTGACCCTGTGACCTAAGCGAAGACTTCAAAGACTCAAGGTACTCCTAGAAAAGAGAACACCCTTTTCCCTAAAAGGGGGCATGAGTACTGTCAGCTCTTTGCACATCCCAGGTTGAAAGATAAGCGTCCCAACCACGTCATCGTCATCCCTGTACATTTTGTCCCCAGCAGACATTGGCAGCATTTGCTCAGAGACCCTTGGCAGTGCCCGTGAGTCACAGTGTGTCTGTCCCACACAGGCACAGGGGACGTGAAGTCAGCTGGCACCGACACGAGAAGGCGAGGTCCTCCCACAGAGGCGCGTTCCTGTCCATTTTCCCACTGCACACCTGGACCAGGCTTGCAGGCTGCCAGACGTCACCACCTGCGGGGGAGAGGGACGTGCAAGCCGCTGGGAAGTGGGAGGGAGCCCTGGTGCCGCCGCGGGCGTGCCCCCGCCTCCACAGTCCTGCATGAACTAGCATCTTCATCACTCCCCTCCGGGCACAGTCTCATCGCTGCACCAGGAATTTACTGGAGGTTGAAAAGAGAAAAGAAACAGCACGAATCTCCTGTGTGTGTGACCTGATGGAGTTCTTGCTGGCTTCTGACCAGCTCGCGGGGTGCTCCCCAGGGAGTGGGGCACAAGTTTCCTCCCGACCTTTGACCTTTAGAAACCCAACAGGTTTTCTCCCCTCTGTCGTGCAGACAGCTTCGGGCCTTACTCAGTTCTACAAACATTCACACCCTGGCCACAGTGCTAAAAATAGCCTTCCTTTCTCTCACTGCTTAGTCTTCCGCCGGGTTCGGTGCTGCTGCCCTGCAGCCCAGGCGGGAGGCGGGAGCAGAGAGAGCTCTGCACTGTAGCCCCGGACGAGTCCTCCTCCAGCAGCGGCGGCGGCG